CTGCATCCAAGCTGCTAAATCTCTTTGTCAGCTTATGCTTTGTTATGACAGAAGTGCTTTTACACTGTGATCAGCTGGCATAAACTGGAAAATAGGATTTGTCTTCCAAAAGCATCAGTCCCTATTTCAAACAGCTGATACGGACACTGGTCAAATCTGAAGCTCAGCCTCTAAATCCTGGAGATGATGCAAAATTAGGTTGTTCCCCTCTCTTTCCCCACCTCGCTCTGTATTTTTACCTTCTCCAATCGTTCAAAGTATTCCCTGAGGAATCCCATGGGTCTTTCAGGTCTCACTGTGCATAACTGTACAATGCAATCCTTCAGGAGTTGCTGGATGTTGTGTTTTTGGACATAAAGTTCACATTCCCGAAGACTACGCTCCTCCTCACTGCTGCTGCTAGAAGCTGCCATCGCTGGAGAGAAGAGAAAGAGAAGGTTAAATAAGTAGAGGAAATAAAGATGCTGCCACCCAATACAGTCAGGCACATCATGCTGCATTAGCTTACAGATATCACACCATAAAACTACCTTTATCTGCAAGAACAGCAACTAAGCTAAACCATGGAAGTAAAAGCCATGAACTTATTTAGTACCTGGAAAGGGATAAAAAATCTGGATGCTCTCCAGCCACAGGCACTTAAAGAATTTGATTGAGCTGGAAAAGCTTCTACAACTTGAGCCCTGTGAATGCTCAAAATCAGGGAAGCTTCCACCTGAACTTTCTGCTATTAAACCCAGTATTCCGCAGGGTTGGAGGCTCGCTTCACACCGCTGTATGATCTGTACGGGGTCATGCGGATGATGGCCAAGAGAGAGGTGGGTGGGAACTGGGAATCTGAGAGGCCAGTATGAAAAGTATTAGGAAGTGGTTGAAGCCAAATGCCAAGACAGAGTCCACTAATGGAAGTTATGGAATTAGGAGACCTAAAAATTACTCTCCAGTTCAAACTGGTTCATACTTTGTAAGTATCTCCACAGATAGACTGCAATCCCAAAACTATTTCTCTAACTGTAAATAATTAAGGGCACATCTTTAAACACATCTGTTACAGTGCCAGGGTTCTTGAGCAGGTTTTTCCTCCCTCTTTCAGGTTTGTATTGGGTTTGCATGGCAAAGCTTTGGTAGCTGGGGGGCCTCAGGGGTGGCTTCTGTGGGGGCTACTAGAAGCTTCCACTATGTCCAGTGAAGCCAACACCAACCAGCTCGAAGATGGACCTGCTGATGGCCAAGGTCAAGCCCATCACTGACAGCAGTAAGACCTCTGGGATAATGTATTTAAGGGAGAAAAAAACTGGGCAAGAGCAACTGCAGCCAGAGATAGGAGTGAGAATATTTGAGAGGGAAAGAACAGCTCTGCAGCCCTCAAGGTTGGTGAAGAAGGTGGAAGGAAGTGCTCCAGGCACCAGAGCAGAGATTCCCCTGCAAGCCATGATAACACAGGCTACGCCATGGACCACAGAGGCCCAGAGTGAAGCAGATATCCACCTGCCGCCCGTGAAGCACCCCATGATGGAACAGGAGGGTGCCTGAAGGAAGCCGTGACCCCACGGGAAGCCCATGCTGGAGCAGGCTCCTGGCAGGACCTATGGCTCCGTGGAGCCCACAGTGGAGCGGGTTTGCTGCAGGACTTGTGACCCCACAGAGGACCCACGGTGGACCTGCTGTTCCTGAAGGGAAGGGGGCCCACTCTGGAGCACCTCATGAAGAACTGCAGCACATGGGAAGGATTTATGGTGGACTTATGCTGGACTCATGGGAGGGACCCCACGCTTGAACAGGGGAAGAGTGTGAGGAGTCCTCCCATGAGGAAGAGACAATGTGTGTTACTGACCGTAACCCCCATTCACCACACTGCTGGGGGGCGGATGAGGCAGAGAATTCAGGAGTGAAGCTTAACCTGGAAGCAGGAAGGGGTGAGGGGAAGGTGTTTCTAACGTTTGGTTTTATTTCTCACTGTGCTGCTCTGATTTGATTGGTAATAATTAAAGTCATGTCTGTTTTGACTCTGACAGCAGCTGCTGAGTGATCTCTCTCTGTTCTTATCTCAACCCATGAGCCTTTTGAGGTATTTTCTCTCCCCTGTCCAGTTGAAGAGGGGAGTGATTGAGTGGCTTTGGCGGCATCCAGCCAGGGTCAACCCACCACAAGAGTACAGAACCATTCTAAAACACATTTTTACACACACACACATATACATAAATAGAGATTTAATATCACTTTTTGCATAAAGCAGTTAACAGCGAGACAGCTAAGGAAATAGGAAAGGCTTTCTCAGGGCATTTTTAATGAAATATAAAGCAAGTTACCTGGTACAGGGACAGTGGCAACAGCTTATGAATCTGCAGTGAGATATGTTGATCCCAGGAACAGCTTTTGAAAGAGGAAACATGGATTCAGTCAAACTAATTCTGAGCAATGGCAAGTCACTCAAGAGCCAAGCGGTGCACTCATATTATGGGGTTTATCCTACTGAGGCAGCAGATTGAGAAACAGCAGCCACACAGGCAATATAACACCATTCCCTTTGAATTACGCTACTGGAGACTGCAGGAGGACTGGAGTTAATATGAAACACTTCAAACAGGTTTCATTCTTGTCACAGTTAATCCCTACATAAGCACGCACAGGCAGACGTGTTATGGGTTGTATAAACACCAAGGAGGGACTTCACGTGGGCTGCAAAAGCACCTTTAGGTTCTCCAGTTCCTTCCTTCTTGCTTTGACAGCTCGCACAGTGAAGGTCACTCCTAATTAACAGCCCCAGAGGAACTCCGTGGCTCCGTGACAGCTTACAAATGACAACCTATGGAGGAAGCGTTGCTGATAGACAGCGCTGCTCATGGGAACAGCAAGGCTGGTGCAGAAAATCATACAATCAGGGAATGGTTTGGGTTGGAAAGGATGCTTAAGATCATCCCGTCCCAACCCTTGACACGGGCAGAGACACCTTCCACTAGAGCAGGTTGCTCCAGCCTGGCCTTGAACACTGTCAGGGATGGGGCATCCCGAACATCAACGGGAATTAACCAAATCGGAAAACGCTAAGGGAATAACAAGGGCTGCAGCATTCCCGCACGTTATAAACGCGAACTGTGCCAGCTCCCTTAACCCACGGCGGCACCCGGACCTGCCGCGAACCGCCCGGGGCTGCCCCGCCAAGGCCAGCCCGCCCCTCACCGCAACGGCTCCCGGCAGCACCGAGGCCATATATACCGGGGCACACACACACAGACCCCATCCCCTCGCCGCACCGGGCACTGCCGCGGTATCCGAACGCCTTCGAGCTCAGCGCCGGGGGCGCGGCCCGCCATAGCCCAAGGGGTCCCATGCAGCGCGGGCTCCCCCTCCCCGCCTCAACTACGGCGCCTGCGCCCAGGGGAAGGGGCGCTGCCCGCCGCGGCAGGCCCGGAGGCTGCCGGCTCCAGCCCGGGCACCGGCCGCTCCCCTCAACCCCCGCCCCCAAGGCCGCAGGCCGCCCGCTCCGCGCCCTTCCCGCCCCGCCTCGCCTCGCCCTCCCACCGCAGCCCCGTCATGGTGCAGCCCCCCCCGGGCCGGGCCCCGCCGCTCACCTGCCCCGGGCGGCTCCGCCGGGCCCTCACCGCCCCCCGCCCGGCCGCGGCCTCAGCGACGGCAACAGCGGCGGCAGCGGCGGCTCCCACCGGAAACCAACCGGCGCGGCCAATCACCGCCCGCCCTGACGTCAATGCGCCTCGCTCTCACCCAGACCCGTCGCCGCGGTAACCTTAAAGCGGCAGGGCAGGGCGCCGCCGCGCCAACGGGACGGAAAGCTCGGGGAGAGCGGTTGCCGCTTTAAGACGCGCGAAGGCGGCGGCGGGAGGACCGGGAGCGGAGGCTCGGCCGCTCGGTCACCGCTCGGCAGCCCGCGCTGCCTCTCGCCTCTTCAGGCCTCGCCCGCAGCAGCGGGCAGCGCTGGGCTTACCCAGCCGCTGCTCAACGGCGTTCGCGGTGACGGACGCGCCGGCCCGAGAGGCGTTAGTGACCGTTGGCGGGGGGATCAGAGTGCTGGGGGTGGTAAAATGCGTTCCGGGTTAGCCGGGATCCCACCGTAACCGGTTAAAATCCCCCCACGTTGTGTGCTTAAAGCCAGTGAGAAGTCGCCCAAGGTCCCGGCTGTGGCGCAGGGAGAGGCAGATCCCATGGGAAAGCAGGGAATGAACCCGGAATCACGCGCTGGCTGAGAACGCACCCCGTGTTAGAGCTGATGTGAGAGCGTTTCAAGCAGAATTCAGTGCTTGTATCGTGCAGGAGAGGCATATAACATACAAAGTGATTCCAATAGTTAGAGTCTGATGGATATTGGATATTAGAAGACAGTGCTTTTGCAATGACATGACAAGCCATCAGGAACCGTGTGCCACAGCATCTCTTACTACTAGTTCTCATAGAAATAAGACTATATAAAGGACAATAAAGGATAATAGCTTACATTAAATCTCAGATCTTCATTTACAACAGCCCAAAGCTGGTCGCTGAGTTCACATGCATTAAATATCTGATAGCTTCTCTCTGCTACAGGTTAATTAAAAGCCAGGGTCCAGGATTTCCAGACACTAAGCCAAAAACTTTACTTTTTATGTAAATAAAAAATAAATAAATTATATATATTGTGTAAATCATTATTTATACAAAATAATAAGGAATCAATAGTTGTATATATTAGTAAATATATATTATATTAATTTAATAATACATTAATATCTGAAATACTGTCAGAGTACAGCATGAGTAACTACCAAATCCACTTGCTCACCTGGCAATAGTATTTCTTTCTATAACTGCAAGCTACTATAAGTTTCTGAACATTCTAAAGCAACTGTCAGCACTCCCCACACACATTTCTATTGGGGTTTTGTTGCTCTTTATCTTTTTGCCAGCTGTCTGCTATTGTCACATCTCACTCCTCCTTGTTTGGACAAGTCCCAAGTGCTGTGGTGGGATAGGTCCCATCTGGAACAAAGATCAGCCCCATACGTAAAACCTGTTCTGCGACATTCTCTTTATTAAGAAAACAAGGATACTGTTGTACAGCTTGCTCCTGATGCAATCCTTTCCTGAGCTCTGGAGCCAGAGTTCAGGCGGAAAGGCAGGGAACATAACAGGCTTTTGGAAGGAGCCTTGTGATGCCAACCCAAAGTCCTCCTTGTTAACCACATACAGCTCCCTCTCTGTGTGTCAGCACCGATTTGTCTCTGAAAGTTAAATCATGCTTCTCATGTATTTGTGTCCATATTCATGTGTTAATTCTTTCACTGTTAAAGACGTAAGAGGAATTAAAACCAAAGCCCTGCTCCGTTTGGTGTGGTCTGAATTACAGTCAGGCCCTGGGCTTCACTGCTTTAATGAAATAATAAAACATTCCCCAGTGAATAACCCACGTTACCGTCAGCACGATTCCCACAACTTTCATTTCAAACCATTTCATGCATTAAAGAGTTTCTCATGAAGCAGCCCTTTGCCTGAGGCTGTGGCTGGAGCAGGGCTGCCAGTGGAATGAATCCACCGACGCACAGGCTGGGAGGCACAGCCAGCATGACCCTAAGGAGAGGGGGGCAAGGTGCAGAGCCCCGCTGGCTGCTTCTGCTGGCTGCTTCTGCTGGCTTTTAGTGAGAACTCCACGGAACCCTTCTTGTAACTCCATTTTATCCCCTATGCTGTATTGTATTCATTTTAAAGACTAATTTAGTTGTCAGTCCTGGTTCAAACCCCATTGGCAAGCACTGGATTAGCACGGCAGTGATTTCAGTGGTGGAAACCATCACGTGTCCATAGCAGTGGCACATCCAGCTTTTGAGACTGGTAAACACTGGTGGAGTCTGAGCATGACTGAGACAAGGTGACTCCCCAGGCAGGGGCTGTGAATCACCGTGTGTCACAGCACAGTGCTGCAGGTAGGACTTCTTGGCTTTAACAGCCTGATTGCTCTCGGTTTTAAACCAAGAAACACTGCCTGAAGGATGATCTTTGCAGGCAGATTCAGGGTGGAAGTGTCCAGAGGTATTTAGGTCCCTGCAAGTTGAGTTAGCTACCAAATTCCCATGGAGAACCTGGACCAGGATGTCCACTCATGGCTGTAAAGCACTCTGTTAGGCTGATGTACTTAGCCGCTTCTGCTTCAGCCTCATACAAAGAATTCAAAAGCACTACTTTCATGATTAAAACCAGCAGCCCTCTTCGAGATCATCACGATCCCTCCATCAGCAGGGTGACAATGCCACCTCATCATTCCCTGGCATTTGGCTCATCACCATTTTGCATTAAGTCATGTAGGCTACATACTCCTGGTCTCATAAAAGACCCATAAATTTGTCTGTAAAAAGCATCTGAAATATCCCAAGTGGGAAGATAATTTGTTTGCTTTTTAACAAAGCTTCCCAGAAGTTCTGACAAAGACTGAATTTATTACTCTAATTTTTATGGTGCTATTTATCAACACAGTGATCAACAGTAATAGAAGCTAAGAATGGTTGCTGGGAAGAAATCAAGGCTTCCTATTCTGCTCCCCACCATGTGATTGTACAAACCCCACAGAGATACTGACTTGGTTTTATTCTGCAAGTATAAAGCACTGCAGCATCCACCAAGGAAGTAAACTAGATCCAAGGTGGCTGGGTAGGAAGACTGTGCATGGAGCAGTGAGCGCGGCATGAGGAGCAGTGGTAAAGGAGTGCAAAGAGCAGCTTGAAGATAAAGAGGCTGAAGAATTGCTGGATCCATATGAAAAAGGTTATAGATCACCAAGCCAGAAAAATACTTCCAACAGCAATCTTAGGAAGAACAGTGATTGGGGAGCTCAGGGTTAAATGAAATTCTATGAGCTGCAATGAGAAATGAAGGCACAGAAGTTGGCTATCCCTGCTACGTGCAGAGAACAAAACCAGCTTCTTGATGGGTACTCCAGTGGCAGGAAAATTAACAGTGCCCTTGGGTATCTGGAATGCTGCACAGGAGTTACCGTGGTGGGGTTTCTGCTGAGGACCATCATGTTCTGCCCGTGAGGTACCACCATCAGACACGGCTGAAAGCAAATGAATCGAGCAAGTGTCAGATTGAAGGAGCCAATGTTTGACCCACACACAGTTCTACATGTTAAATCACACAAATCCATCACCCTTGATGTACAAGCAGAGTCCAAAGAGGCACAGCCCAACACATGGCTGCTGCATGCGCACCATCTTGAGGTAGGGTAAATGGGGAATGAGGAAGCTATAATGGTACAGAAAGGTTTCTTCTACCAAACAGAAGCTGCCATTAGCCCCAACAGCCCTACAATCCGCATTGACCAGCAATCAGAAAGTCAACGGAGCTAAAACCTGTGAGCTTCCTGCGGGCCATGACAATGCCAGAGGCAGAATTCATGCTGTGGCCTTTGGGCATGTCTTCTTGTATTTTGTTTAACTAACAGAGCAAATAACCAACTCTTGCTGCTGCACCCATGTCTCATTGAGACTGTCCAGTGTGATTCATAGGAAGATCCACAGATTAGGAGCCAAAAGACAGCAAACCATACTGCTGTTGAACAATAGGCTACTTGAGGCCAGACTCTGGAGTTGGCTGTAGAAACTTGACAGCTTTCAATATACCTGCATGCAAGGAGAAACAAAGCCAGGTAGTGTCAGCCTCTGGGTGTGTTACAGCAGAAATAAACCTGTTATCAACATCCGTAATTCTGTGATAAAGGAACAGAGCAAGGAATTGATACGATCAATAACTACAGCTTGAAAGACAGCACTTGAGATTCCTGCTCTAACCTGTGCCATGGGTGAGAAACCACTGTGTACCCTGAAAGGTGGTGGCAGGAAGCTGCCTTTGGTCTTGCTGCACACCAGCTGGGCAGACAGCATGTGAAACGGTTCCCATGCACAGAACAAGTCTGCTGTGAGCAAAGCAAAACTGATCTCAGATCATTTCCATATGTTACTTTGAAGAAGAACACGACTGGTAAGACTCAAACAGAGTAACCAAGAGCCAAGAAAAAAAATGTCCTGAAGCGCCCAGATCTTAAAGATAGGCCAGCCAGGGAATCCATTTACATCTGCGAGACGTGCCTGCTGCAACACAGCCCTGCATACACACAGCATGATTCCCAGCTGGAAGGCTCCCAACACCCAAGGGGCAATGTTGGGAACATTCTACCTCCTGAGTAAGTGTTGAGCAGCTCGGCAGCATAAGAGAGGCAGTGCAGTCATTACCTGAGGTATGTCACACATTGAAAAAGCCAGGATACCCTGATTAAATGCTAACACAGATAACGCTGTTCTGTTGCCATCCAAGCGTGTTTCACTTGAACTCAGTGTTCCCTCTTCTGACTTAAAGCAGATGAGTCTAGATCAGCAATTACCCTGCACCTCAACAGCAAGGCAAGAAGTTTCTAAGCACCCTCCTGACAGTATTGGAAACCGCTTGCTTAGGTGTCTATGTACAAGCGTAAAGGACTTCCAGGACTCTCCTTCTCAGCTCTGAGTGAGGACAGGGATGAGCACAGTGGGATAACAGATGCAGGCTGGGGTGCTAAGTTGCCTCACGAGAGATGAGAGATACAAAACAGCATCCAAAGGATGGCAAAAAAGACCCTTGGAGAGGGAAGGAGATGGGAGAGCAGCAGGTCTTTGCCTCCTGCAGTTTGGATGTGAACTGCCTTTGTTTTGCATCCTTAACTTACACAACCTCTGGGCAGCTCCAGCAGTTCATGAACTGCCCGACCATCTGCAAATGTGATTCTTGACTTTAAGATCTCTCTGACGCAAACTGAATTAAAGAGCAATGAGACAGTGTGCAGCTACTGTTGACTTCTGTTCCGGGAATGCATGTGAAATACTACCAGTGTTTGTTTTGTAATGGAATGTAAATACCCCCATTGAAAAGAATCCTCAGTTGCCCTGCTTTTAACATAGAGGCAGTCTGGGGAGAGCTCCCTCTCAGAGCATCATCTGTGACACAGTTCTCTTGCGAGATGCACACATAAAAGCATTTTAAACAGTCATTTGCTTATGTAGTGGTCTCTGAAAGCAGGTGGCAAAGTAAACACATCACACAGGCGGTCAGATCCACTATTCTTGGTCTGGACTGACATCCAGACAATGCCTGGACTAACATCTAACAAGCTGGCTGCAGAATCAAGTGATTTCTGATGCAAGTTTCTGCCTCTCTCCCCCCAAGATAATAGAACATTTTCCCAGATAGAAGGAACCCGCTCGAAAAACAATAGGTCTTTGAAATGTCAGCTTGCTTGGCATGTGCTGTGTGCCCACAGGAATATGATATAGCTTTAATTCTCCAGCTGTAACCATTAAATGAGAAGTAACAAGATGATGAGGGGATGTAGGTCTAGTTTCCTGCTCTGCTACTCATTTCCAGCCTCTCTGTGGAAGTCATTTTGCCCTGTTCCATTTTTGCTTCCCAGAGTAGAATGGGGATAAAAGCACTGCCTGGGCTGAGGATGAATCCAGGCTCATGAGATGTTTGTGTGCTCCAGTAATGGGCATCACTGGTTGAATCACTTAAATTAGCTTTAAGTTTATTAAGTTACATAAGAACTGGTTCAGGATGGGTTGCAAAACAAGTCATGAAGCTGCATCCACGTGAACTTGGAGGCTCTGGCGAGCAGCAGCTGCAGTTACCTTGGTTGTGTGTATACCACAGTCCCATGGGCAGCACAGATACCTCCCTGCACTCTCTGTCTCAACAAGAACCAAGCTGTTTCTGCTGTGAATGTATTTATTATACCAGTGTTTTGTACTGTTTCTCCTCAAAGCCCCTCCTTGTCTAGCACAGAAGAGGAGAAGTCACCCAGGTCATGAGACTGACTTACGTGCTCGGACCTTGTGCAGGGAGCCTGTGTTCCCAACGTCATCCCTCCACAGCCTCTCAAAGCAGAGCTGCTCCTCTGGTCTGCTCACACCAGGCTGTGCAGGAACCCCATGTTCCTCCGTCTGTTGGGACCTCGCTGTGCTCAGCCTGCCTCTGCTGTGTTGGCTGTTCTGATCTCTCATGTCTGCACACTCTTTGATCTCTACATAATTAGAGAGGAATTGCAATTAGTGCTGTATCCAAGAGTTAAAGGGAAGGCAAAAGGTTTTCCCTTTCCAGTTTTAACCCCTTCACTCTTTGTGATACAGGTCTTATGGTTCTCAAAGAGACTCTAAGAGTCCCATATGCACCCCAAAGAGCTCAGCCACCCTCCGCCTGCACCACTCCTGTGAGCATCATGTCAACGCTATTCATCAAAGCTTCCAATGAGATAATCCATTGCCAGGGTAAGTGTGATGTCCTAATGCTAGTTAGGGAAACGGGATATTTGCCAGAGCAAGGATAAGATAAGGAGCATTAATCCAACTTACACGGGAAGGCAGCATTAGGTTGTAAGCTCTCCCCTGACCTTGGCAAGCACTTCTGAAAGGGCTGCTCATTGAATGGCAGGATCCAGCTGAGGGCCAGCACCTAAAACTGAAAAGGAAAAGCTACTAGAAGCAGAGCTCTCAAACACTGGTGATGTTCAGACTGGCTGTGGAGTCAGGCTCTTGCCCTTCCATCACCCTGACTGACGCACAAGCCAGCAGAAGGTCCTTAAGGCCTTAATGCATCTCTCCTGATTTCTGTGCCTTAAGTAGAGTGCGGTGATACTTCTTATATGCATGTGGCAAGCACGCTCCCATGGTATACCCCTTCCCCTCCCCACACCAGGTTAGTACCTATCCAGACAATGCAGCAAGACAAGCCAGCCTGCTGGTGACCAGCACTAATATGTTCTGCGCATTGGTTTTTCTTTCCACATTTATATATTTGATACAGGAATCATGATATCAAAAAAAATGTTTAAATCCCATATTCCTTTCTATAGTGTTCTATTGGCAGAACTATTCAGCTCCCTGAGGTCAGTGCTTTCCCCTACATCAGCACTGAACCCAAGTGGAAGTACACTGGATAATCCAAGGAGCAAGCAAAGACCGCTGTCTCCATGTAACAAGCACTGGGTAGAAGCATCACTGTGTTCAATCATCAGTGGGTACTAATGCCAGACTCGTAATGAAGCACGTGTGCAGCCGGACTCACAGCACCAGATGGCAGCATTTATTGTCTGGAGCTCCTAGAGTTTTCCTTGCTATGAGAAACATATGCTGTCCCTGTTAGACATTCACCTTCACCTGCTCCCTCCTGCCCGACATTCACCCTCACCTGCTCCCTCCTGCCCATTTTCCCACTGGAAGGCTCAAGTTCCTCAACAAGCTCATAGTTATCATGAGCACCAGTGAAGGATATTTAGCAGATTTATCCCCTGCCAAGACCTTTCTTTCAGTAGCAGATTTCATTGTGTTGGAAGGGACCTTAAAGCTCATCCAGCTCCAACCCCTGCCATGGGCAGGGACACCTTCCACTACAGCAGATTGCTCCAAGCCCCGTCCAACCTAGCCTTGAGCACTGCCAGGGACGGGGCAGCCACAGCTTCACAGAGACAAATTCTTTTATCTGAGAGGGAAGAGCTTGGCTGGAATTTAAACACTGAGCCAGGAAAAGCCTAAAAGCCATCAAAAGGTTCCTAACCCTTTTCACATCAAATGACCACATGCAGGATGCTGTGGCTGGGAGAGGCCCTTCTAGACACAGTGGCTGGCTCTTCAGCTTCTTCACCTCTGTTTCTTCTTTAAGGCTTGAATCCATACACCCAGGGTGCAAAACCCAAACCAACATCTGTCACATGAAGTGTGCTACATTGAAAACCATTCCCGATGGGATGGCCACACTCCGGCTGGTTTCAGAGCTAATGACTGAGCTGAGGCTGTTGCTGTTGATGGTTACTGCAGTCACAGGATTGTCAGGAAAGGGAAGCCAACTTCTGATACGTTCTTCCCAGCAAATGCAAGCATCAGAGCAAGAAGGGTCCTTCTGGTGCCGGCAGGGCTCTCTGCTGTCTCTGCCAGGACATATTCCCTAGGTGCGACATATTCCAAGATCCCAAGAAAGATCTTGGTCACCAAAGGTTTTCACACTGCAGCAGAGGACAAGAACTGTTTGTTTCTCCCACCTCTGCTAATTAAATGGCCGTTGTAGGCAGAGAGGAAGATTAACAAACAGGGTTGCATCAGTCAAGCTGCGAAAACAGTTGTGTTGCCCAAGTCTCTGATGCTTCTGTGGCTCTGCTTTATCAAGGCTTCGCTATAAAACCGGCTCATGGCGATTACCCAAGCAGCAAACACCCAACTGCAGCAGCTGCTCAGAAGCTGTTTGGTTGAAATACAAGGCACTGACTCCCTGGGTTGGTCTGTGGGAGGGGGGTTGAGTTTGGGTCTGAACTTCTTCCTTCTCTGCAAGCCCCTTTTCTGACATCCCTGTTTCAAAACCAAATGCTGGACCACCACAGGGATGGTCTTAGGCCATTCAAAACCAGCTTTTTCTGATTCATTCTGAGGTTCTATTAGCGCTTCCCTATTAGGCCCCCTCAAGAAGATATCTCCCCCTCAAAACATGATGAATTTCAAGTTCTTCCCATGCCACCTTTGCAGCATCACTCATGTGCTCTGCATCCCAGGGACGCATCCCATTTGCCACCAGCCAAGCTGATGGGTTTAAGCTGTCTGTTTTCATACATCCTCCCCCAAATTAATCATCTTCACAGTCACAGGTTTTAAACTCTCTGACAAGCAGCAAAAGGGGGTTAACCCAGGCAGAGATCTGTGTCCACATGGGCTCTGCCTCATTGGGATGGTATTGATTTTTCCAGCAGCCCTGCGGTGTGCATCCAGTGATCCAGGGCAATGACTTCAGCACTCACATGAGGATTACTCATCTAATGAGGGGTTTGCAGCTCTTGTCCCTGTTCCTGTGTGCTCTCTGCCGTCCCACCGACTTCCACAACGTTTCCCATGTAGCCACTGGCTCCGAGGGAGGTTGTCTCCCTTTGCACTTTCCCTGGTAAGTTTGGCCCCATAAACAGCAGCACGCAAATCGCATGGATAAAGCACAAACCCAGTATATTTAGAGCGTAAATCGTGTGAGTAAAGGGAACGTTAACGCGCGCACACCTAACGCGCGCACACCTAACGCACACCTAACGCACCGCGCGGCCGCGGAAGGGAAGGGGTTGCCCTGCAGCAGCGCTGCAGTCACCGCCTTCCCGCGCTCCACACCCGCACCGGGCCCCGCGGAGCCGCCCTAGGCCGCGGCCCGCAGCGATGGGCGCCAGCTCCGGCCGCGTCTGATGCAACCACAACACCACCACGTGCCCACGAGCAGCTGATGCGCGCCGCCAGCCAATAGCGGCCCGTTCCGCCAACCCCGGAGGCGGGACTATGGCGTTTGCTCCTCGCTGATAGGTCAATGCGAAAGTCTATCCGTGGGTGGGGCGGTTCCTCAGGCCAATGGGAGGCGGCACCGCCCCTGCGCGCCGCGGAGCGGGCCGGGGGCCGGAGCGGGCCGAGCTGGCGCGCCCGCTCCATGGAGGCCGCGGCCGAGGCCCAGGCCCCGGCCCCGGGGTCGCCGGCGGCGCTCAGCTGCTTCTCCTACAACCAGGACTGCACGTAAGCGGGGCGGGGGCGCGGGGCGGGCGGCGGCAGCGGGCGCGGGACACCCTGTCCACGGGTGCGGCTCCGCGGGGCCCCGTGCGAGGCTCCCCGCGGTGCAGACGGGGCCCTGCGCGATCCCACGGCTCTGCCCCGCGGCTCTCGGGACACGGCCTCGGGTTCCCCCCGGGTCGGTCTCTGGGAGGCAGCAAATTCCGAGGATCACCGGGATTTCCCTCCCCAGCGGCTCGGGACGGCCGGAGGGGACTCGGAGGGCTTGGTCTGCTGACCTGAGGCCACTTTGTAGGTGGCAGAGCCACAGGGCTCTTGATGAGCCGCCTGTGCGCCATCATGGAACGGTTTGGGTGGAAGGGACCTCAAAGCTCCTCCAGCTCCAACGCCTGCCACGGGCAGGGACAGCTTCCATAGAGCAGCTTGGTCCAAGCCCGTGTCCAGCCTGGCCTTGAACACTGCCAGGGATTTGTGAGCAATTGTGAGTGCCCCATCCCATCACCTCATAGGGTTTCATGGAGCCTCTCACCATTGCTAACCTGTGCTTTACCCATTTCAAAGCCCATCATTTAAGAACCGTCTCTGAATGGCACAGGAAACATCCTGAAGCAGCGAGACACGCACACAGCAGCGGTCACAGCACAGATCATGGGGTACAAGATCAGAACCACAGCCACCAGCCTCACACCTGGAACACCGTTACCTTTGCAGCACTGCTTTGTATTTGCTGTGCCTAAACAAAGAGTGCATTGATGGGTGCTGCCCTGGTGCTGACGTGAACGGCTGGGCACCACAAACCCTGTGCATCAGGGCACTGGGCAGGTCTTAAATCAGCACTGATTTAAGATGTACATGTTGCTGCTTACTATATCTAGCACTGAGCAGAGCCAGCACTTGGCATGACTGTGTCTCATACTCCATGCCTGCATCCATTGCTATTAGTGAGAGCAAACCTTCCATAGCTTTCATAGGTCAGTGTCATGCAGATGGATCAGCTCCTGGCATGGGAAAGAGTCCCTTTTTATATCCTTAAGGTCCTATCTGCAGCCTTTCAGGTTATAATATAGCTCTATTCCTCCAGCAGCCACAGTGCCATATGAGTGATAGCTTGCCACCTTACAGGATACTTGCCTTTTGTAGGCTGCAGTAGCCTCAGATGGAAAAACAGATTCTTGGTTTGTTATTTTATATACTTTGGATTGAGAGTGGAAACTGAAGTTGTGCCTTCATGGAGGTCACTGAAGGAATTACTTCTGTGTCATGGCTTAATGCCAGCCACAGCTAAGCCCCAAGCAGTTGTTCACTCACTCCCTTCCAATGCAGTGGGGGAAGAGAATCAAAAGGATAAAAGTGAGAAAACTCATGGGCTGAGATAAAGACAGGGAAAAAAGATAGGGAAAGCAAAAGCCACATGCACAAGCAAAGCAAAAGAAGGAATCAGTTCACCACTTCCCATTGGCAGGCAGGTGCTCAGTCATCCCAGGCAAGCAGGGCTCCATCATGCCTAACAGCAACTTGGGAAGACAAACACCATTACTCTGAACGCCCTTCCTTCCTCTTCCTCAGCTTTATACGCCAAGCATGACATCATACGGTATGGAATATCCCTGGGATAAGCTGTCCTGGCGGTGTCCCCTTCTAACTCCTTGTACACCCCCAGCCTCGTTACTGAGGAGCAGAAAAGCCTCGACTCTCTCTAAGCACTGCCCAGCAGTAACTAAAACATCCCTGTGTTATCAGCACTGTTTCCAGCACAGATCCAAACCATTGCTCCATACAAGCTAATCTGAAGGATTAACTCCATCCCAGTCAGAACCAGCACACCCTGCCTGCAGCGACGCTTGCTATCACTTGGAGGCCTTAGGATCTGAACTAGCAGGTTTTTGTCTTGTCCTTGCAGCTCCCTGGCAATTGGAACCACAACTGGATACAGGCTTTTCTCCTTAAGCTCTGTGGAACAACTGGACCAGGTCCATGAAAGCAGTAAGTGTCTTGTTTCACTATTGGCTGACAGGCTTTACCTGTGTTACTGCACTTGAGTCTGCCTCAAGGGGGTGATTCTGTTCAGAGAGCTGTTTCTGCTGTGCCATATCAGGAGATGAACAGCCCTGGTTACTGCCTGGTGCACGGCAGCCTTTACAGTGAGCTACAGCCTTGGAGGAGCTTCTGAACAGTCATTAGGACTTTAACCTTATGGGAGTCCTTTAACCCTGTTACAGTTCAGCTTCTACTCACTGCTGCCAGTTTGACAGCAGCAGTTTGCACCAACATTCAGAAGTAGTTCACCACTGGCATGTTTCACATACATGTACTGCAGACTCCCAGCACAGACACTGGATAACTTGAGGCTTTTAGTCCAATGTGATATTTACTGGATGTTTTTAACATGTTTCCCCGTGCAGGAAGGTCATTCCTAACAGGCTGTGCTCAGAGCAGCATGCAGTGCACTTCATAGCCCAAAACAAGTCAGGCCTCAGGGAGCACATGCTCTAGTTCAGACCATGGGCAGAAGTGTTTCAGCTGAGATGCACTAAAGATAAACCTCACAGCTGGGATATGCTGGTCTCTTTCCACTGGCTGTAGAAGGAGCCTCAGCAACCAGACATAGCTGCATCATCTGGAGCAAAGCCCAGGCTCCTTTCCCCTTTGACTCACAGGGGAACTAAGCTCCCGTAAAGCAACAAGTCATAGGCTTGCATTAAAAGTATTTAGGAATTTGGGTTGCCCGCAGAGTCAGGCCAAAGAGAAACAAATCCCTGCTGATGACACGCTCAAGGTGATGGCTTGAGATGTGAGCAAACCCACATCATGGCTGTGGAGCAGTCCTTGTGCCTCCAGTGCAGCACAGCCCAAGCACCATTCAGGATATCTACACTAGAAGTCATAGCCCCTGATGACTTAGGTACAGGCCCACCAAGACCATTGTAACGGTGCCTCCTCAGCACAACAGGAGCCATCCCAAACATGGTCTGCAAGACATGCCACACCACTGTCACCACAGCCACACTAGAGCTCTCTGAAGACCACAGTCCCAGTAACAGGGAGGGTATAAACACATCAGGCTTCCCTAAGGAAGCCAGGAGAAACAAGATTCCATGCAAAGTAAACAGCGAGTTACACACTGTTTATGCCTTACCTCACTAAGCCTCAGCTTGCTCACTCCAGGAAAGTCCCTAACCAAGCTTGCTGAGCTCCTCCTTTTTATATCCCCTTCCCAAGCATTAACTACAGCTGGAGGATGCAGGGATTAGCCTCAGCTGGAGAGCCCTGCCCAGGAGAGGCACAACAGCCCTGTCAAAGGGGGCTGGCTGAAATTTTGCCTTAGGGGAAGGTTCATTAACCCCTTCCTGCTGTGACCTAAATGCTTTGTGCCAGGTATGAGAAATCTGTACCAAAAGCAGACGTTGAACACCTCAGCGCTGAGCATTCCAACCTGATCCCCTCTTGAGCTGAGTCGCACAAGTCAAACCCACCATAAGCCAAGCTAAAGCCTCTTGCCTTGCTTTCCTTTCTGTGCCCAGATGAAATCCCAGATGTTTACATCGTGGAGCGTCTGTTCTCCAGCAGCCTTGTGGTTGTGGTCAGTCATGCCAAGCCCTGGCAAATGAATGTGTACCACTTCAAGAAAGGGACAGAGATCTGCAACTACAGCTATTCCAGTAACATACTGTCCATCCGGCTGAACCGTCAGGTAAGAGCCTGGCCAAAGGGCTTAGCCAGAGTTGTTGTCACACTGGCTCTTGGCTGCTGTTGGCTTTCCATCTGGAACCCCACTGCCCAGCAGAGCAGCAGCCTGGGTAGGTTTGCAGGGCACTCAAGTGGCTCAGAGGGACCTGTCCTCTCCTGTCAGCTCCACTTCAGGCTCAGTGACCTGACAGAGGAGCAGGATGCTGTGGAGATCATCTGCTGCCACTGTTTGCTGCAGTAAAACGAAGCTAAGTCCTTGTTTTCACTGCAGTCACACAAAGGCTTTTTGTTGTCTGTCCTGTTGCCTACTCAGCAGACAGCTCTGCCAAAAACACACCTTTTCATCCTCCTCCCTCCCTTGGATTCCACATCCTGATTGCAGGCCCACCTCTGCCATCTTGGTTACAAGTGAGACCTTCAGAGCTGGTAACAAAACCCAGGAGTGACTTGAGCTCTGTGGATGAGGCCAAAGGCTGGTTTTCAACTCCTGCAACAGCCTTGGTTTACTTTTAAAGGTGTAGAAAACATTTAGACCACTTAGAAGGCGACTTTCAGAGTGTTACTGGCTGAACGGACACAGCCTCGTGCAGCCCTGAGCCCTCTGGGAGGACTTTAAGTCTTCCTTTGTTTTTGTCCATAATTATTCTCAAAGTACATGCCATGAGAAGCAGAGGATGTTTTACAATGGAGAAATAAGCAGTCTGTGTAATTGTATATAATCAGCCTCTCTTCAGTTAGCAACAGTGAGTCCTGCAGTGAGGCTGTCCCGTAAGGAAACTCTGGGTTGAGTTTCCAGTAAAGCTGTGTTTGACCAGAAGTTCCTGTACCACAATTAAACCTGCCCTGAACTGATTTTCTTCAATTTACAATGGAGCTGGCAAAACTAAGGACTCCCTATGAATTGCAGATAGATATATAGGTATAAAAATAACCTGGGAGGCTCTGCTCGGGGAGATCAGTGTGAGAGCAAGTTCAGGCTTTTCCCCATGGGCTGCTCTGGGGAGTGCCTGAAGATGATGCAGAGGCCCAGCCCTGTATCCATGTTCTTGGCTGCTTTATGAGCTTGGGTTCCAGTCCTGGGCTGAGCTCATCCTCCAGCTGTAACACTCACCTGGAGAGGTCTGGAAATGCTGCACATACTGGGGTAGGTAGAAGAGAAATCACTGTTCCACCCTATGATCAAGACTTAAACCAGCAGCAGTCAGGTTCTGCATGTGCTGGGACATTTGAACCCCATGCCTGGGCTTTTATACTTCATTAAAAGCCATAGAAGGCCACATCCCACACAAAGCATTAGCACAGGATGATGGTGGCAAATAAAGCAGGAACAGCTCTCAAAATGGTGCCTGTTTCAGTTTGGTCTCCCTGTGAAAAAGTCCTTGTGCAAACAAACAAGCAGGTCCCTCGGTTGTTGCTGATCCATGTTCCGAGCTCCATCATAACCCTAAGCGTGTTAAGGTAGATTATGAGTTGTCTCAAATAAAGCTTTGCTGTGGGACCAGTTGAGGTCTCCTGTAACCTCCCTGGGTTTTCATTCACTGCTGAAGCCCTGCTGAGCTCTTTGGAGAGGTTTGATCTGGCTGTGTCCATGCCCAGCGCATTTAAGTCCTCACCATACATGTCACCTGGTTCATGTGCAACTCAAGTACTAAAGAACACTGATGAGCAGTAACATTCCATACAAGACACGGTGCCTGGTAGCAGCCCTGTGTAGCAATCACAGCACCAGGCACCTTCTCTGAGGACAGAATCCATTCCTCATCTCAGCAGGGCTCACAGTGACGTTAGCATGGGGTAAAGAGGCAGAGAAGCAGCTCCCTCCAACTGGTGAGCTTGTCCAGGCCTCCTTTTCCTGTTCACCTCCTGTCCCCATCACTTTCCTGGATTTTGTCCCTGTTGGTGCCAGCATCTCTTGCTGCAGCTCTGGCTTTGCCATCATCTGGAGCCCTCCCTTCACCTGTACATCAATAGCAGTGTGTCTGCAGTTCTGGGAAGGCTCATGGTGGCTTGGCTGAATTCAGCTGTATAAATATTCCTCTCGGTCTCTGCAAGTTGATGGCTGTTATTGTAGGAAAGGCAAAGTCTTCCTGGAAATGCAAAATGGCCCTGACACAGCCCCAGATGCTGTGGTTAGCAGGAATAGAAGTGGGAAAGAGTTTGATCTGAGAGTAATGGTGGAGCAAAGCAAAGATTTTCTAATGTGGGTGTTTCGAGTTAGTGACTAAGCTCCACATTTAGATACTAAATAAGTGGCCTCATCTCTAAAGAGGTGGAGGCTTCCTGGACATGGATTCGGGTGCTCCAGCATCAGGAGCCTGGATGGAGTGTAGCCTTCCATTTGTGTTGGGAGGTTTTCAGTGCTTCTGGACACTTGGTACTGATGCAGGTGGAGCTGTGCGCTCGCTGGACTTAGAAAGCACAACCCTTCAGCCACATCCAAAACCTGGTCCCAAAACAGGCCTCTGTGCCAAATGCCTCCGTGATTAACACAGATTGATCTGGACCAGGCAGAGACACGGAGCAGAGCGGTCACGCAGGTGGTGGCCCAGTGCTAAGGTTACAGCATTAGGTTTCCTTTTCCTCTGTGCCTTTCCTCCCCAGTGCTTGGCAGCTCCTCTCTTAGCAGCTGCCTCTTGGCTGGGTGGATGTGCCTGAAGAGTGCAGCAGAAAAGGTACAGGCACATGAACTTGGACATCCCCTGCCCATTGCCAGGGTGGTGTAAACGTGACTGCCCAAGCAGACCTCTCCCAGCCCAGTTTCAGTGCTGTTCTACAGGCACACAAAGCAGAGCCTTGCCTGCTGGTGCCAAATGAGAAGAGAAGCGGGTGCTGCGCAGATGCATTGGGTTTAGCAGCAGTGGGACTAACAGCAGCATCACCTAAGTGTTTGCTCCCAGGGCAGGAGAGAGCCAGGCCAAGGGGTACATCGCCCCATGTGCAGGCAGGCAGGATTGGCACCCCCTCTGCTGCCAGGTCTTTATGATCAGAAGGCTATTTGCTATGAAAAGAACTGCAAAGAAAAGTAGGGATAGATGGCAATCAGGGCCCATGGTGGGTATAACCCTGATGTGTCTTCCTCTTTCTGGGGCTTGCAGGTATTGAAGGTCAGCTCTTAGAGCAGCATAAAGTCATGATGCGGTACCTGCTTTCTAAAGTAAGACCAGATGCAGCAGCTCTCAAAAGCAGTCATCCAAAATGCGAGGTTGACAGGGCGGATGGAGGAGCACACGAGATGATGCTTCTGTTGTATTTCAGTGTGTTAAAAATTCCTTTGAGTTCTTCTGAGGGGAAAGATTTGGGTTTGTGAACTGTGGGAGAGACAGAGGCACCGTGCCCACGCGGCTGAGGTTCTGTGCATGTCCCTTTTGTCCTTGCAGAGGCTGGTTGTTTGCCTGGAAGAGTCAATTTACATCCACAACATTAAGGACATGAAGCTTCTGAAGACTATTCTGGATACACCCCCAAATACAACAGGTGAGCATGGGAGAACTGGGTGAAAGGGGTTGCACATCTCTGCAGGAGCTCTGTAGAGCCACAACACTCATGTTAGGATTTAAACCAGCTTTTGCCTTGTGTATCCTAATTCAGCACTGGGGAGACAGAAATGCATGGAGGCTGTCAGGTGGGCTTGGGAGAGGAGAACAGAGGGGTTTGTTCTGTCCTGAGCAAACCCCTGCTCTCTCCTGAGCACCAAATGCAGCAAAGCAGAGCAGAAGTGGTCTTGGTCTGACTTCACCTCCCAGGTTCGCTCCCTTCCTGTCCTCATGTGAGATGTCCATGCACTCGCTGCTTCCCACAGTGTGCCTTTATTTTCAGTCACAAGCAGGAAACTAAGTAAACCAGGACCACAAGTTTCCCATCACATACAGGACCACTTGAAATCCTCCCCCTGGAGCTCCCTGCCCTTCCTTCACTGTGTCCTGCGTCAGCATCCCACGGTGTTCCCACTATCCGGCCCCGCTTTCCCGCCCTGCTGGAGTGAGTCAGCTCTGCAGCATCGCACTGTGTTGCAGAGCTCCACACTCCCTGCAGACCTGTGGTTAACCCAGGTTCTCCTTTGGCCATGGACACGCACTGCTCTCCTAGGGTAGAAAGCTCCTGTGGTTACTTGCAGGCTGTGAGGTCAGCTCCCCAAGTGATTAGAGCTGTGAAGAGAGGCAGAACACTCCCTAATTCCCTGCCAGGGAGTCCTCAGAGCTTGGGCTGCCACCTGATATTATAGAATCATGGAATGGTTTGGGTTAGAAAGCACCTTCAGATCATCCATTCCAACCCCTTGCCATAGGCAGGGACACCTCACCCTAGACCATGTCACGCAAGGCTCTGTCCAGCCCAGCCTTGAACACTGCCAGGGATGGGGCATGTATCCCATATACACTACAGATGCACGGAGCAGGTGGCTGCAGAACACATTCTCTGTGTGCAGCACAGGGTGAATCCGGCTTTCCTGCTCGTGGGAGAGGAGCTATTTTTAGCCATGGAGAGGGAATGTTGGCCGAGCGCCTGCGGCAGCGCTGTGATATCCCAGCCGGTCGCAGGCTGCAGCACCGTTTCACGGGTGGTTGATGGGGAAGCTGCTGCTGTGATGCTCACGCCTGGCTGCTGGGCTTTCAAGGGATGCTCTTCTGGCGGCTCCCCGACCTACTTCAGGCCTCAGCAGATGGTTTTCCATGTGGATTAAACACGCTGAACACCGCAAATATAATTAGAGCTGAAAACCTTCCTGAGGAAGCCCAGCCTGGCAGGGAGGGCAGGGGTCCCCAGGCCTCAAGTGGGGATGAATGATGAGGTCACAGGTGCAGAGCAGTAGCAATCAGCTCACTGGGCAGGACGAGGGATCA